TGTGTTTGTTTGTTCGCGTTATTGATTTCTGATCAATTATGATCCAATTTTTGCCGCATTTAATCGACTAAAATTGAATATAGATGAAATATTGGATGGAACTTGAGCTTTTATGACCGTTTGATTAGAAAGACGAAAAATCATCAAAAACTGCGTGCCATTGTTGCTGATATAATGAGAGATAATTAGCTTAATTTTCTATCGACATTTTTTATGTGGATCAATGCATCAGACTGAAAAGTATGACTAAATGTATTTTTTGCATCGTTATTAGAGAAGGATTACAGCGATATCGTTCTCTTAGTCTCAATCTAACTTAACTGGCATCGGGTACTTCCGGTAGGGTTAAATAAATATGGGAATTTTCCCAATATATATAATAGGGGGACCGGAAATAATGTCGTTTCTGCGCATGTCGACAACAACATGCAAAGGGCAGAAGTGGAAGCAAATCCATGTCAAACACTCTTAACCATCCTTGGTCGACCATCCAAGAACATTCAAAGCAGAATGGAAAAATAAACAAAGCAGGTGTTTTGAGTCCCCCTATAATCTGTCCGAAAAGTTCAAAGCCAACCGATCCACACAGCAACGTATGCTCAAGCACCATGCAGAACCGTTTTTGATCATTTGATTAGTGGAGACAAAAAAAAAATAAGTCAATATGATAATCCAAACTAAAGCGTTTAATAGGGGTTTACCCAAATGGTTACATCCAGAAAAAGCGCTCTGAGTGTTTGCTGGAGTATTCGCGGAATTGTCGTTGAATTGTGAAACATTGAAAAACTGTTAATGCAGAACTTTATTGGAGCAACTGGATCTAGGAACCAATTTTTAATCGAAAAATGTCTGGCGATTGTCACGGAAAGGCGTATCTGCAACAGACAATGCAAGCCGCATGTGCAAGACGAACACTGGAAAAATATAATGAATTGGGGGGGAGGTACAGCCTCACCACCATATTGTCAGATATCGCACCTGGTTTCATTTTCCGATCCCTACAACATTCTAGTGACAAAAAATTAAAATTTGGATGATGTCCAAAAAGCCATCTCGAGATTTACTCAAAAACAATTGATTTTTATCGGTCAGGGTTAAATAGACATAAGGTCGTTCAGGGAAATCTCGACACCTTAAGGGAAAAATTATGAATAACTGCTTGACATTTAAGGATTTTATCATTCATTTTTTACAGAAAATATTTATTTCTGTATTAGTAACACATTATGAAAATTTGTCTTACCTGAAAAACCTCATAGGTCATAGAAATGCAATGAAAAACATAAAAGCCAGATGTCCACTTCTCCGTCAACTGCGGGAGATCTCGACAGGTATCTACGGGGCGGCAGGTACAATTCAGAACAATGGCCTTTTTTTTTTAAGAAATAAGGAATACGCACTATGGAAACGAAAGATTGACGGACTAAATACATATTAACAATGCAGCAGTATATATCCTCCCTTTTAACTATGTACATTTGTTGCATGTAAACTGAGGTATTCTCATTTTCTACACACGCCTCATGGAACCACATACTACACTCTCCAACACATTTCACCCACTTCTGTTCGCAGAGTCGTAGCTAGGGTTTTCAGCGCCCAGGGACAACTGAAGTTTTCGCGTCCCCTACTGCTTCCCAAGAATGGAAAACATTTAATTCTAAAATGCTGTAACATCAGTTTGGCGCCCCTTGGATTCTGCGCCCGGGGACAGATGCCCTTTGCCTCTAGCTACGCCCGGTATGTTCGGAATCATCAAAAATAGTATCTACCGCATCGCACAGTATTTTCACTGTCTCAAGATCCCCGAGGTAATGGGTGCGTTATACCTGACGTCAGCTCCCTGTGTTGGGATTTTACTGCGCGTGACTCCTGCATCTGCAGATGTTATAATGGTGTTTCTGTTTTTTTTCCTCCTATTCCGTCAGAGTGGTTCTGTACTACTGGTACAGGGGATAAATTCCGAAAAGATGTAGAAGTGAGTAGTAGATGGGATGATGACTTGGCGGTATCGTCTTCTTACCATAATGGAAGGTACTTTGTAGTGACATGATTCCGATTCAAACAATTGTCTTCCAAAATATCGGGATTTATGGGTATATTCCACATTTTCGAAAGCCATTGCAAAATTGCAGATTGAGGCAGATAGCGACTTATCCCAGTTACTTGAATATTTGGCAAAGTTTCTTTAGTGATCCCTTTCCTGGAAAGTGGTGAACAAAGTCCTGATGCTTCGTTATAAAAATGTTCAGGCTCTTGAAATATGAAACATAGGGTGGCTTTGTGAGTGCTATGTGGAGGAGGCATAGAATTCAATCCAGCATTACGCTTGTCCGTGTCCCGGATCTTTGCAGCGAGAGGCGTGTCCATCTATAATGAGTACAATTTTTCCTTGTGGTTTGTGTTTGTTCATATGGTCAAGAAATTTGTTGAAGACTTCGCTTGTCATGTATTCAGAGTCTGACGTCTCTAACGTTGACCCATTTGTTAAACCTTTGGTATAAGACGGTTTTTCCCTAACACCCATCATTATGACAAAGGGGGATGGCACTTCCTGTTGCGCTGATGCAAACCATGGCAGTAACAGTAGATCTCTTTTCTCCTGTCGTGGCGTAGTTCACATCTTTTTAGCCTTTGCCAGAAATCACTTTGCCAGGTTTGAAAATTAGCTGCAGTCCAGTTTCATCGGCATTCAAAATTCTTGCCGGTTCTTCCCACAGGTTCAACGCATCATACATTTTCCGTAAATTGTCAAAACATTTCTCCCCGTAACCTACTGTCGAAATTTCCTCGAGTTACACATTTCTATGAAAGATGGCAGGACCCTCTCCCCCCTCTGACTGGCTATAAAAACTGTTTGCGTAGACATTCATCTTCCTGAATGCCTGATCTCACTAGCCGGTCATTTGGAAATCGCCAAAAATCGAAGCTATCGTCCACATTTAACATCGTTATCAAAGCCAATCGTATACTTTATGCATCGTAAACTATGAAGAACGTACCTGACAGATTATTAATGTTTATTTTCTTGACCAGTTTCTGACTTTACAACACTTTCGATTCAAAATGACGCACTAAACGCTTAGGTTATTCCAATACAGTGGTTTTCATCTGCGACACCAGGGTGCAGACCACTCTACTAAGGGACTTTCTTAAAAAAAGTGTCGAGATATCCCTGAACGACTGTACTAGATGGCAAAAGGCTGCTGATAACCAGGGTGATTATATTATTGATTAAAAATAAAAACTTAAAAACTTGTTACAAATTTATTCGTTTTGAATTTAATGTAAGAAAGCGACATTACTTTCCGGTCCTCCTATTATTTTATACCATTTCTTTTTTAGTGCGTCATATACTTTTATATCAATAAGCAATTAATGATGAGTTTTACAATATTAAACTCACGTATTCCTCCCACTAGCTTTTTAGCCTTAGGTTCTGAAAATTTTGAAAATATTCGAATGATTTTCCCCTTCCTGTATTGTACGCAGTTTTTCCCACTGAGGCTACTTTATTGGGAAATTTGTATTCCCTTAATTATTTTTATTTTTATTCAGTGTATTCAACTTGTATTTGTATTTTGCCTTAGCATTTCATCCATTTTACTTTCCCTTACACTTACTATTTGTGCAGAGTCTTCGCTAAGCTTCTCAGATGTTGCAGGTGCTCTCACACTTAAGAAACTTTCGAAACGTGTGATTTCACTTTACTTCTGTTATTTGCGTCTCAGATTATAGTAGCCTGATGTGCTGCTGATGTGTTTGATCTTTCGAAATCGAATCTTTTGTTCGCCCCCTCCTCCTTCGTTTCTCCGATATAACTCTTTAGAACTTCATTCATGGGACGTGTCCCGTTCACTTACGATCCGTCAGATATCAGCTTCACTATCCATCAGATATTGTAATGCTAATATTACTACGTATGCGTATTGGAAGGTTTCAGAGTTATTAGGTTATTTTGACACTGGAACGTGAAAAATGTGCGCCCTCGCCGGGACTCGAACCTGGACCTCGCGAATACGTGCTGAGTGTGTTACCGTTACACTAGGACGGCATGCCGTAAGGCGGGAGAAAAATTTTGGTTCCTTCTAAAGAAATAATATTGTGACAGTTATCTATGACTACTTTTCATTTGTTATGTTCGTACTGTAACCACTTTCTTCGAAAATTAAATTACTCGCATAATATTCTCCTCCCGAATTTCAGAAGATAAAATTAGTTAAAAAAGAGGGGAAATACGCGAAGCAATACAGCATTTATTTATTTATTTATTTTTGTAAACAACGCGTTCTTCATTATACTGGTCATGCATATTCGGCTATCGCCCCCCCCCAAGTGATCCCTTGATCATCATCGATCCCCGAAGCGGTCAATACCGATCCCATTGGGAAATTATTCATTAGATCTATAAAATGAGTATTTTAAGTTTGGATATCAGAAAAACATACGAATATGATGACACACATATGCGCTCATATTTAAATAATCTGAATTAAGTTTACATTTCATTTTCCTACTTTGATTCTTCAATAAATTCATTGTGTTTTACTGCTTTAAAAGCGAACAAAAATTTTGAATTTTTGATCTATCTACTTGAGTGAATATGCGTAGCATGCATGGGTTCACGAGATGCTAAAGTGAAGAACAAGAAATAAAAATAAATAAATAAATAAATAAATAAAAATAAATAAATAAATAAATCATGTTTCTTTAATTTTACTACAGCTGCCCAATATTCATAAATATAAATGAACGCAAAATGACCGGTTGTCGACCGGCTGCTTTCAACGCTTCGCTAGAAGTGGACCAGAGTAAAAAACAAATTATTTTTGAGCAAAATGTTGCCAAATGTTGCAGCCACTCCACATACACAACTCGTAAAACTGTTCCTTTCCCTCCCCACCGGCACCTGCTTTGGCATTCCTGTGATGTCACGCATCACGTGACAGCGCACCTTGGCAACGCCAACGACGCCGCGCGAAACGCAACGATCAGTTGTCCAACATGGCGGTTGTGGTACGGGTGTCTCAACTGCTCTGAAAGTTGATACATGGTGACTGTGAAAAAAGAATCACTTCTTGGATTACTATTTTTTTTCCTGTCTTTGGGATAACATCATAAAACATGGTGCTGGTAAGTGGCGATCTTTTAACCTTTGCGCGACAGTCGTTTTTATTATAATAATTCGTCAACTGGGGAAGAAGTTTTGTTTTTTTTTTTCTACCGAGGGAAAAGTTACGTACGTCCCGCGCAAGGTGTTCTGGGAAAAGAATCTGACAGGTTGTTTTGCTGGATGCGGGCCGCATCGTGACCATCCAAAGGGGTTTAAGGCGGAATATATAGTTTCTCATTACCGTGTAGGTGAGGGATTTGTTTTTGAATTCTTGCCGCAGAGACCTCACAAAATTATCATCTTATTTTATCACTTCAAGAGAGTTGAAATATTAAAATCCTGTTGTATTATAATTCTGATAATGCCGGAGTATAAATATTCCGTGTTGGATGTCTGCGATAAATAGTGCCATAAAGCACATGCATTCATATTAATGTTCTTATTTGTTTACATATCTATTTTATGTACTTGCTGGACGTTGTAGTAAATATTGTGCGATGCAGAGCAGTTGTAAATCTGATGTAAATGTAATGATGAGGTTGTAAATCTAAATGAAAGAGTTCGCTTTAGGAAAGAAAGTGTTTTACTTTCCCTAGCTGAATATTTTGTTTAATTTCTTTTTTTAATTATATTCCTGAATACTCAGGTTACATGCGAATTAAATCCACGATCTGAAAATAGTTAACGGGTCAGTTATTTCCTAATCTTAGGAAAAAAAAAAAAAAAAAAAAAAAAAAAACTTTTTTATTACCAAAGAAGAAAAATAGTTTAAGTAAATTTAAAATTTTGCAAAGTAAATTTTATCAAAACATACAAAAATAAGAATAATAATGTGAGGGGAAAAATCAGATTTAGGTTTATTTTTTCTCCGAAATCTTAAGTTTGATACCTGCAAGACTTTTTTGTTGCTTACACAAAAATATTAATAGCTAAATATCGAATTTTCTGACTGATATTTATTTCAACGATTCTAACCCGTTTAATTATTAGTCAAAAAATTACATTAATTAATTTAAATTGAAAATAATAAAAAAATTACAAATTTCAGCTTTCAGAGACTTAAGTTTTCTGAGGAAATTTTCGAAGTGGGACAAAACTTGAGAATAAGTGATGACAACCTAATCTCTTTTCCTTATTAATTAACTTTTTCTTCGACGCATAAATAAAAATACGTATGTTTGTATGTAAATAATTATAAACTTCTTTGTTTCTTACTACAGCTTGATACTTGATGGCGTTTTGATTGTTAAGTTGTAGGCTTTTGAAAGAAACTAGTAGAAATAATATTCATCACGGATTGTAGATGCTTTATTGATCAATCGGTATCTTTTTTTTTTAGTTAATTTTCTACTTTAAAAAAAAAGCCATTCCCATATAAAAGTATTCCCAAATGAATTGATTATTCTTAGTGCAAAAATTCGTATCTGAGCTTATTTATTTTTTGACACATAGGATAGAAGTTAATAAACTCTCTTTCTTCAAATCTCTGAATAAGATTTATACCACACTGTAAATTAATTAGCACAACTTATACATTTTCTGGTGCGCTGTTCATGTTCGTTTTTAATGTTACTGGAAGTAAACTCGGACTTTATATAATTCGAATTTTGAAATCTTCGCAATATTGTATTTAAAACAAATTCATAATTCAAACATATATTCGCGGGACGCAAATGTGTTCGATAGCTTTACCCTGTTTCATTATTATTATTATTTTTAGAATATTTATTTACTTATGCGTGTATTTTAATCATTTCCGATTGAACTGGCTTGCGTAAAAAGGAACTGTGCAACAAATTTTAAAATTTTGGAAATTTTCCTTTAAACTAATGCCTTTCTTCCGCCGAATATAATTTCTAGTCAGTTCGGTTGCCTAAAGTTTTGATAAAAATATGCTACCAATCTGGAATCGATATGTATCGGCTGTTGCATTTTCACTCATCTTCACTTTATGAAACCGTAAAATTAATTTCCAATTATAATGCATTTTGTTTTACAAATTTTATGATTTTGTATTCACTTTAACATTAAAGACTTAAAAATTAATTCACCATAGTAATTTCAAATAAATCCTTAAAATAAAGAACGTAGTAAAAGTTGCAATAAATTTTGTAGCAATAAAAAATGTAACTAAAATGAATATATGTGTATTCTTTTTGGAATAGCAACTTAATACTGTAAAGTAATAATTAAAAGAAAGAAAAATGTGAAAGGAAAACCAAAAGAACTCAAAAACAAAAATGTGTTACATATCTGAGTGGAAGAAAGGTCTATATAAAACCCCAAAAGAATTTTAAAGAAAAGTTAAATGTGACATACTTCATCAAAGGCTTGGTAATACAGGAGAATGTAATAGGACAACAGTATATTTGAACTACGGAATGAAAAATTCGGTAAAGACAAGGAAATCTTTTTTTAATTAACGAATTTTTAAGCAAATTGTTGTAGTTAAATTATTCAGTAGTGTTGGAGTACATTAATTTAACTATATTATGTATAAAATATGTCTTTTAAAACTAATAGTGATTTTCTTCAAAATATTAGAATTTAAATTCTAATGGAAAAAGGAAACAAATGTTTAAAAACACGAATTCAAATCAAATTAAATAAACTTATTGGTTTTTATTAAAAGGACTGATGTATAAAATAATTCGTGTTAGCAGCAGGTAATTTTACCGAAGGTATTATTTAAATTTTTCAAGTAGAGTAAATTAAAATTCGGATTAAACAAATATTTAGTATGATAGATTTTTTTATTTCTTCAGCGCCAGAAATCATCCTGAACATCCCCCCCCCCAAAAAAAAAGTTAGAAATATTCAAAGAAGAAAAGGAAAGAAATAAATAATATGTACTGTTGCCAATAGTAAAATTAAATCTTTAATATTGAATTCAATTAAAATTCAAATGAAAAGACATTTCAGTTTTTTAAACGCCTCGTATAACGATGTAAACGTATGTAAAACATTATAAACAGAAAACTACGAAAATACGAGAGAAGTATATTATCATTTGAAAAAAATTATAATATATACTGAGAATTAAAAAAAAAAAATCATTTCAAATTTCTTTTTGCTTTTTTGATTCGCAACAATTGTTTCTTCTGTTCCGGATCTTTGCGTGTAACGGATTATCCCATCCTTACTAATAGTAAATAAAATGAAAAATATTAAAATTGCTCAAAATTTTATAAATGTTTCTTAAAAAATATTTAGAGAAACTCCCCATTTCTGCGAACATTTTAAGAAATATTGTTATAAATTACGTAATATAATAAAAACCTTTCGTAGATATATCTTCCACTCGTATTCTTCTTTTTTTAGCTGAATTCGCGTAACTCATTCGACTGTAAAAAATAAATATACTGTTAAGAATTTCAAAATATCCGTGATGTTATTGTTGCTAACAAAACTTTATCGGTATGAAATGGTTGGGTTAGCGGAGAGAGAAGTAAATTGTTTATTCCAAAATAAGTAATATTTTGATCGAGACTGCATGTGAATAGAGTGCTTTTATTTTTCGTGGAAGCGTTGCTAATACTTAAACCTTTCGGGAAGATAGTCTATATCTATAAGGTATTTCTCCCGCCTTCCTAGCGTGCCTTCGTGGTGTAGTGGCCGGTATTTCAGAGGACTGTGGTTCGATTCCCGGCGAAGGCGGTTGCTAATTTTTCAATATCTCTTGCTTCCAACTAACCTAATAAGTTAAAAGCGTATTTCATCCTCTTTCCTATATTTCATCAGTAGCTTTTTTTCAGAAATTCACGTTTCTTACTAAGTATTTGAATACCATTTATTAAAGTTGACAATATTTAATATTTTGTTTACTAAAGCTTAGACACTTTTGTTGATGAGACTTCAAAATGAGCAAGAGGATGGGGCGTAAGTAGACTATAAATGAACAAGGATGGGGCATAAGTAGACTATAAATGAACAAGGATAGTAGGCTTACTAGACATCCAGCTTTGACCGGGATTGTTCCGGTTTGATGATGCGTCCCTGCGTCCAGGTTAGGTAGTCACTTTGTCCCGGTTATTTGGTAATAAAATATTAAAAGCGCCGAATATACACAATTAATATCAGTACAAACCTACAAGAGTTTTCAGCATTTTATACCAGATGTCTTTCTTACATTGGGCTATGGAAAAACAGTTTTGGTGGAGCAAAATCTTTTATTTGGATAAAAAAACCGTGAATTAATAGTCTAAAATTGAAGTTTCAGGGGAAAAAATGAATGAGACTGTAGTAAGTAATACAGTAAACAAGGATCACTTTTTTGATGAAGCAGTGGTTTGAAAAGCTTTTTTGGTCAGCTGATTATTTTATTTGGAGGGAGAGTTGTGGGAAAAAATGGATACAAGTTTTCTGTCATTTCGAAGACAGTTTGCTGAAATAATACAAAGACATTTTCAACATGCCGCCCGGTACGTCGGCACCACTCGAAAGAGTATTTGCAATACCATACGGGTTAAAGACAGAGAGAGAATGGCTGAATCAACCGCCTATTCTTAATGTAGCCATTAAGAATAACAGAAGAATTTTTGAAGAAACTTCATACCGGTGGTAAATACTAAATAACTTCTGAAGACATATTGTTATAAATTTCCATTTATTTATTGCTGTTTTTTAACAACATTTTTATTTTAACTTTTCAGTCATAGATATTATCATTACCCTAATATGTTTTTTCTGTTGAGTATTTTCTCAAAAGTATCCCGGTTTGAGCAAAAAAATGTTATGGTAAGCCTGGGCATAAGAAATATTTGGCATATCCTCCGAAGCTTTAGGCATGAAATATTTATTTCTTCTGGTTTCTTCCATTAAGGTTATTAATGAGAATCCAGTTTTCTTTAAAATTTGAAATCTTAATGGGAATACATTTTTAAAGCAATAAACGGACACAGGCGCTCCCTGTGAACATCGTAGTTTTAATACACTGCTTTAAGGGCAGTGTATTAAAACTGTACTAGTTTCATTAACGATTTGTACTAGCTTTAAGGGCAGTGTATTAAAACTGTACTAG